CACTCATTTGGTCATGCTCAAGAATGGCAAGTTTTCCCATGGGTTGTTTACAGAAACCATTTGAAAAACATATGTGTATGTTTATCTGAAGATGGTAAAAGGGTAAGGAGTCCACTTCGCAGCGGAAAGGAGGATTCCGCTGAACTTGCTACCGTAGCTTGAAGAATCACTAGCGGGCCTTCAAGATGGGCATTAAGAGTAGTAGACAAGTTCTAGTCGTTGACAAGGTTGAGTCGCCCAGTAAAACACTCAAAAGTCTTTACGCACTCAGATATCTACATTTTGTGTGGAATCGAAGTGCATGGCGTACTCTGAAGTATTTGTACGATGTCAATACTTAATCTTTCACGTGTTTTCTCCTTTCGGGGTATCTCTGATTGCGCATAAAGGAGTGGGATTCTTTTTATAGTCAGTCGTACTGTGTTTACAGATTTTCAAATATACTAAGGGCATTTTAAGAGTTATTTGAAGAATCTGTTTTTCTTTCAGCCTAATTTGAGAGCTCCTTAGGTGCCTTTTGGGAATTGTTCCAGTTTTCGGCACCCTGCTCGAGCAGGGCTAACATAGCGCAGCTGTTGAAGTGTCGATTTTTTTCTTACACAGTGCCTGCGAATTAATCTTCCCTGATCGATCGAGTTCCATACTTGGTCAACTGCCACAATGGGAAAAAATTGAGATCGAAACGACCGAGTAGTCCTTTAAATGGCCCCATCCATCTCCCTCTTCACATTGGTTGGTGTGCGATAGCGCTATTGTACTTGTCAACTTCTTAACAAACTCCGCAAAAATCCGGATGTGCGCGATTAGCCGATGGGGTGGGGGGAGCGAGGGGAAGGGCAGGTGGAACGGGTTCACATAGCTCGCCGGAACTTTACGATTTCATAATTTTCCTGGAGTTTTTTCATATTTTTTCGCCAATCCTGAATAATGACCCCCCCACCATAAGTGTGACCCTTCCCTGACCCCACCGTCACTTTCTCCCTTAAATCCAAAGAACGACCTCTTCAGAAAGTTATGTGTACGACCCCCTTGTTTGCAGCTCGTTCCTAAAATATCAACAGACGATTTATGCTATTTCATCCGTAGGTCAGGTGTTTGTGGAGAGCTCTCTCCGATCGTGAACTTGAAAATTGGGGGTTTTTTTTTTTTTGCTCCAAGCTACAGGTTTTACTTATAGTTCTACTTCCCATTCGAATGCCTCTGTGGTTTTGAGTAGGCATCGAATACTTGGCGCATTCTTGGTTGAAGAACGCTATGCGTTTGATCCACGGCTGCATCAGCTCCTACTCCCTTGAGACTGAATAAGGTCCTACCTCCATCTTCCATTGGTCGACACTTGTTCCTATTTTGACGTGTGCTGCTGCTCCCTCCAACGGGTCGTGTAGACAGTCGATCGTTCCGGTAGTCGAGGCTTTTACTTCGATTAGAACGGACGTTTTGTCGAAATAATCGTTCTACCTGAAGCAATGGATTTCCAAAACAATTGAGAACATTTCTAAATATGGAAGAATGAAGCTCCCGATGGTGATAAATCTCTTGTCAGGGATGCGCCATGCATTCTACTCCCATTCAAGGTTATGTGGCGGTGACTTATCGCAGTCTCCTATACAATGACTTGCGGAGGGCAGCCGATCACAAGCATAGTCAAACGTGCGTTGCTCTGATTTGAAATCCATCGGCCTCAGGAGAGTCCTCTCCAATACGACCCATTTCGCAAGATCCCTGACAGCACGACAACTCCACCATCATCGCCGTATGTTAATGGTATTCTGTTTCAAGAGCAGACGAACAGCCCAACTCTGGCCCAAATGTTTCATCCCAAAGTTGGGCGAATTTATCGCAAAACGAGAATGACTTCCCTAACTACTTGCTTCTCAATCGTGAAGTTTCTCTTCGAAATCGTCCACAAAACTCCGTTCGAAACATCCCCCTATACAGCACCGCGCCCTTCAACTTCCAAGAATACGGCCCTCTTTCTTCCTCCACCAACCCAAAATGCGACCACCACCACCCCCCTTGTAAAAACCCGAGATAGTATCCCCTGGCTGAGCACTGCGCAGCGCACGGTTGACCAGCAAGTTACAAGTCAGCGGTTTCTATCCCTACAGGCTAGTCTTTATTTACTCAGCGACCCAGCAGGAATGAAAAGCTCGGCTGGCTTGGAAAGCACTCATTGTCAGGACTTACCTGAGCGCATGGTGAAAAACTGTCGGTGCCTCTACAAGGCCTTTGCCCCATTTGGGTGAATCTGGCAGAAATGCTGTAATCCTGACCTTTTCTTTTTTCTGTTGATTGGTTGACGATTGGGATAAGCCCATCACTTGCGTGGGAAGATGAGCTGAATAACAGTGATGGTGAACACAAATTTCTGAAATAGTGAAGACGGGAATTTAAATAGGCAAATAAAGAAACACATCGCTAATGTTCTAACTAATTACACTGGTGTGCAAAACTTAAGGACGAGATAGATGAAGTAACCTAACTTATTTATAGCTTTGTGGACCTTTTAACGGTTCCTATTATTTGCTTTTTGTACTATACTGGAACAGTTCCTTATATGTGTGGTTAGGTTCTATAGAGCTGTTTTACTCGGCAGTAATACGTCACGGAAAATTTAGTTCGTCCTTAAGTTTTGCACACCAGTGTAGGTTGAGCAAAAATTATCCGCCGTTTTCATTTCACTCATAAGTTTATTAACAAAACCAAACAAAAACAACAATAAATGCGTAATCAACAAACGCTCTCGAACAGTCCTCTCTGCAACCGTGCCTTCATCCCAGGCTTCATTGATTCTACGAGCAGAAGCATTCGGTTTCGAGCTCAACTTGCACTCATGTAGCAGAGCAATCTTTTTTTGCTCACGTGTAAGCTCCAGAGTGAAGCAAATACACAAGTGTTGTACATCAAAATGTACAAGATATGAGAGAAATGTACAATATAATTGAATTTCAGACTACATCGTGATCTTCGGGAACAATCAGCAAAAATCAAACAGCCATAAGCCTGAAAAAAAAACAGCGGAAAGTTTTTGCTCAACCTAATATAAGGGGACTTCGGTACTTGTTACGATATTTTGGAGATGTTCATGGAGTTCAATTAATGCTGAGTGGATTGAAAGCTGAGTTTGCGATGAAGAAGCAGTTCATCGAGGAGTGATCTGTCTGCCGGTTTCCACATTAGTGCAACTTTCATCGGTGCTGCCTCTTCAACGTTAACGCTCTCTCTGCTAAACGGTTAGAGTCAGAGGGCGAAAGGACGGGTGCGAGCTGCGCGGATATGGCCCTGCTGGGCCGACGGGGCATACTTTTCGCTGAGAAACGCGCATCGTTTCCTCCCCTGTACCGAGTCGAAAAGCAGGCGGATCCTTATGGGGCCCGTCTGCCTCGACTTGGTACATTTTCAATCTTTGCCCTCGACGTTATCCTCCTTTAAGAGTCACATAACGATTGCTCTTTCCAGAGACGTTAAGGGTTAAATGAACAGAGAGGAAATGGGGATGGGAAAGTGCTGGTTGCAGAGCGCATCAGACTGCATTGAGGGTGATGGTTTTGAGATTTTCAGTAGGGTTATCTTTGCTACAGAAATTGTCGGCAGAAAAGTGGACAAAAGAAAATGTGTTTTGCATCGAATAAGACCCTTGATATGGGCCATCTTTTCGATTTCCTTTCGAAGACATTCCGAGAATTTTTAGATGTAGAGTACTGCGTCGGTAGGGCAAAATCGAAGTTTATGTATGAAGTAGTTCTTCAGCCAAA